GGGACAAAAAAAAAAAAAAAAAAAAAAAAAAAAAAAAGGAAAAAGAAATATGCCTCTTAAGACCTAGGCTTACAACTGATTTATCGTCAATCCCACCCACACTCCATTGGCAAATGCAAGTCACAGGACCAAGCCCAACTCAGATAGAAAGTACAGGGAAGACCCATGAAGTTTGGTTGGAGGGGACAGAAAGAATGTATACATGTGGAGCAGTCAGGTAATCTACAAAGTGCAGTATTATTATACACTTAGCCCTCTGTATTTGTGGGTTTCACATCTGTAGATTCAACCAATCTCAGATGGAAAATATTTGAAAAAAAAATGTGTCTATATGGAACATATACAGACTTGTTTTTTCTTATCATTCCCTAAACAATACAGTATAAAAACTATTTTCATAGCTTTTACGTTGTATTAGATATTATAAGTAATCTAGAGATGATTTAAACTATACAGGAGGAGGTGCACAGGTTATATGCAAATACTATGGATATTTTATATCAGGGACGTGAGCATCTGTGGATTATGGTATCAAAGGGAGGTCCTGGAATCAATTTTTTACGGCTATAAGGGTCAAGTGTATTTTAGTTATTATTGACCATTTGTCTCACTCTATTTCATTGTCATTGCCTTTTATTTTGTCACATTAGATTTCTTAGCCTATAAGAAATCTATATCACTACACCATTATATTAAAAATCAACACTCCTTTTTTCAGCATCATAATTATTTAAAATTTTACTTTTGCCTTTGATGATGGAAAATTTGTGCAATTTCTGTGTTTTGCATAGGATGAAGATATAAAGAAAAGGAACTCTGAAATATATTCAGTTCAGAATAAAATTGGGTATTTATTAAGGCTGGTAAAATATAGCTGTGGCCAGTCTTCAGATTTAATCAGACTTTTAAATATTTTTAGGTTTCTGCTGAGCCTGATGGAGCTACTTATGTATTTCAAGGATTTATTCAAGGCAAAGATTACGGGCAATTTGGACTACAAAGACTGGGTAATGTATTCATTTTGATTTTCACGTAGCTCCTTTATTACCCCAGACGTCAAAAGAAAATACACTGGATTTTGTACATTAGGCACACTTACTACATTTTGAATTCTGCATTGTTAGAACTATACACTGATACATTTGATAGCCTTTTAAAATAATCACATTCTTCAAAATATTGGTTCTCTATGTATCAACTCTGTATAATGTTTAGTTTTTCATATCTCTAATAAACATGACAAACTGTCATGCCCTTAAGCAAGTAAAAAGGAGAAAAAGTGATATAGATAAAAAAGAAAATATTAAACTGTAAATTATTTTATCTTATCTCACGAGAACTGTAGTAGTTCTCCTCAGTTTGAATATTGTTGTAATTTTCTTATTCCCCCCAAAGATGTATTGGCACTTGAAGCAATTCATAGGTTCTGGAAAGGGAAAATAACTTTGAAGAATGGGCCCCTTTTGGGGACTTGGTGCTCTTCAAATATGTACATTTTCTGTGGTGGGAAGCACAGAGTTTTGCCATTCTTATTTCCACATCTTCTAATATGTGTGTAAACATTTAACAGTCTTACTAGAATGAAATAAACATAACTTTTGGTGCATAATATTCCTAAGGTTATACTGTCTACCATTATTACTATGTAGCATTGATACATAAATAATAAATTTAGGTTCTAAAAATGAATATTTGACATTAAAAATTCATTACTTTGAACTTTTACATAAATATTCTGAATTGCTGGAATAATACCGTATAGAATAAGGTGCTATTTTTTTTTTTCTTGGACAAGGATGTGGCTTAGCTGCATATAACTGTTTATCAAAAAAGAGAAATTAGCTTTCTCTAAATTAGCAATAATAGTATGTCATTTCACACAACTTAATGTCCTGCCTAATTTATGTTAGTTTTAAAAACAGAATAAAACATTCATTAATATGGTACATTAACACAGTTGTATAATTGAATATGGAACGTTTTTATATAATATTCCCAAAAGTGTCTCAAACACTATAGGTCTAAAACAGAACTTATCATAAAGGAGCTATTTCTTCCTGAAAAAGGACTGTGACTATTTCCTCTTCCCCCATCCCTGTGCCAACGTGTTGACAAACCTGATTTTTCTCATTTTCTATCTCTGATGCCATCGCCATTTACTGTATTTAAAGTAGAATACTTCTAATCCTATGCCTTTTTATTTTTTTTCACCCACACAAACAGATTCTGTTGATTTTACCTATGAAATGTTCTCCAAATCTATCTTTTCATGCTCTTCCTAGTGCTCTAGTTCAAATCTTAATTTTCTTTTTTATATGAGTTGTTGCTACAACCATCTAACTATACCCAGTTCCCTGATGTACTCTCTCAAGTCCATCCCACTCTAGGCTCTGTTTTAAACCTCATTTTTTATCACTGGGTCTTTTATTTCTAAATACCTTCAGTTATCCCACACTGAGGTGGGTGTAAGTTTGAGATGTTTTTCTTTTTATTTGTTTGTTTATTTATTTCATTTTTATTTTTATAAGATTTTTTTTTTTTTTTTTTTTTTTGGCTAGTACGGGGATCTGAACTCATGAGCCTGGTGTTTTAAGGCTGTGCTCTAACCAACTGAGCCCACCTGCCAGCCATGAGCTCTTTAGAATGAAATTTATTCCCTTTCAGAATCTAGCCAAAGTTTATTATTTTAGCCTCCTACTCCTCCCATACACCAGTGCTTGTCGCATCCCCTAAATATGCCACTCACCTTCCCATTTCTAGGTATAGGGTGATTCTGCTTTCTTCTCCATTTGTTGTTCTACTGATTCTTCAAGACCAAGACTCTATAGTATATCCTCCAGAAAACATTCTTAGATGTTGCAGATGGAATTACTCCTTCCCCTTCTAAAACACATTGGCCATTACTTCATACTTGATGTATTACTTATTAATTTCTGTGTAACTCTTCCCACTATTGTATAAGCTCTTCCATTCAGGGACTCTGCTTGTTTTTTAGTCAGTATCTTTTCCTGGAAAATATCTTATAACTCGTAGACATTGTGCAAAAATGACTGGAAATCAGTTGGAGGAGTTACACACATTATTTGTGTTTCCTATGTACATTTCCACATAGATATCTTGAGAATGGAAGAAATTAATTGGTTCATAAAAACAGAAGTCAATTATGATAAAATAGAGCTAATTTTGTATTTATAACTCATTTTTTTTATTTTGTAGGACTGAATGTGTCAGAAGGTTCAAATTCTTCAAATCAACCTCATGGTACAAATAGTAGTTCTGTGGCCATCGCTATTCTTGTGCCTTTTTTTGCACTTATATTTGCAGGATTTGGATTTTATCTTTATAAACAAAGGTGAGTTGATTGATTTTAACTACAGAATGTTTCCCAACTCTATTTCATATTTCTTCTGCTCTAGTTCAAATCCTAATTTCTATTTTTTCCCTTGGGTTGTTGAAATATCTGTGTGTCAACTGTTGCAGTTGTCGAAAACCTTATTTCCCCCACCGACCCCCACAACACCACATATACACACGGTTCTGTTAAATCGCACAAGCATTAAACTTAACCCTTCCTCCTTTTGCCTGTCAGTTTCCTGGTCTAGAATTAATTGTACAAGTTATTTTTACATTATCCATAATGAGACTTTAGAGATATGAAATATAGGTTAAGGTTTAAATTGGAGAGATGGTATCTGCTGCCAATACATTTAGAAATAGGAAGAAGCTTGTATCCAAACCTTTTAGTTCACATGAAAATACTGACTGATTTTACCTAGGCAGACAGATGGTAACATCCTTTAATTCTCTCATTCATCTTCTGTTGTTTTTGAAGACTATGCAGTTAGTATTTTAAATTTGTGATAACTCTAGTATATGGATGTACATATAATTAGTAGGTCCTGTTTGCTCTATCCATTGCAGTATCCTGGTGAGGGGCTTTACTATGCAATTCTCCACTATTTGGGACAATTCCTTATCAGGAAAAAAAATATGTAGGCAACTTGATAATTAAAAGAATATTACCTAAATGCATTTTCTTTAAAATTGGTGTTTTTATTATGTGCCAGTCTGCAATTTCTAAAAATGATTTATTTAATATTACATAAATTTGTAATAATTGTGAATTAAAAGTTGTTTAGGTCTGTCCAATATCAGACCTTATCGATAAAGATTATCGATAAGCTTATTCATAAGAAAAGCTAATCACCCTTTTTTATTGTGGTATAATACATATGCATATAACATTAAACTTACCATTTAAACCATTTTAAAGAGTAAAATTCAGTGGCATTTACCACATTCACAATGTCATACAATCATCACCACCGTATAATTTTAGAACATTTTCATCAACCCCAAAGGAAACTCTGTACTCATAAAGCAGTCACTCCTTATTTTCCTTACCCCCAGCCTCAGGCAACTACAAATCTTTCTCTATTGCTTTGCTTATTATGGATATTTTATATAAATTGGATCATATAATATGTGACACTTGGTGTCTGGCTTCTTAAACTGAGAAGAATATTTTCAAGTTTCATCTATATTCTACTGAACATAAGAACTTTATTTCTTTATATGGCTGAATAGCATTCCACTGTATAGATATACCACATTTTGTTTGAATGTGTCCATTGATCGGTTGATGGATATTTGGGTTGTTTCTCACTATTGACTATTGTGAATAGTGCTGCTATACACATTTGTGTACAAGTTTTTGTTTGAACACTTGTTTTCAATTCTTTTGGGTATATACCCAGGAATGGAATTTCTGGGTTAAAAGGTAATTTTGTGTTTAATTTATTGAGGAACAACCAAAGTGTTTTGCATGGCAGCTGCATTATTTTACACCCCCAAAAGCAATATATAAGGGCTCCACTTTCTCCACAGCCTCGCCAATACTTGTTATTTTCTGTTTTGGGGGGGTTTCTTTTTTTGTGTTTTTATTGTAGCCCTCAGTGTGTGTGAGGTAGTATTTCATTGTGGTTTTGATCTTCCTTTCCATAATTACTAATAGTGTTAAGCATCTTTTATGTGCTCGTTGGCTATTGTCTATCTTTGTTGTAGAAATGCCTATTCAAATATTTTGCCCATTTTTAAATTGGTTGCTTGTCTTACTGTTGTTGTGTTGTAAGAGTTCTTTACATGTTCTGGACACTAGACCTTACTAGATATATCATTCACAAATAGTTTCTCTCTTTCTTGGTAGATTGTATTTTAACCTTCTTGATGGTGTCCTTTCATATACAAAAGTTTTCCATTTTGATGAAGTCAGATTTTTTTTTCTTTTCTTGCTTGTGCTTTTAGTGTCATATCTAAGAAACCATTGCCAAATCCAAAGTTATGAAGATTTACCTGTAATTTTTTCCTAAGACTTTTATAGATTTACCTCTTGTATCTATGACTTTGGTTCATTTTGAATTAATTTTTTAGAAGGCAATGTATTATTTTTTTAACTGACATAATAATGTACATATTTATGGGCTACAGTATGCTATGTTAGTATATGTATACAGTGTGTAATGGCCAATTTAGAGTAATCAGCATATTCATCACCTCAAACATGTATCATTTCTTTGGGTTGGGAACATTCAAAATCCTCCCTTCTAGCTATTTGAGAATATAAAATAAATTATTATTGACTGTTGTCACACTACAGTGATTTAGAACACTGGAACTCATTCCTCCTATCTAGCTGTGGTTTTGTACCTGTTGACCAACTTCTCCCTATCTCCTCCTACCTTTACCCTTCCCAGCCTCTAGCAACCACTATTCTGCACTCTTCTTCTGTGAGACCTTTTAAATTTTCCATATATGAGTGAGAACATGTGTATTTATCTTTGTTAGCCTGGCATATTTCACTCAACATAATGACCTGCAGTTCCATCCATTCATGTCTGCACGTTTATGTCTGAATAGTGTTCCATTATGTATATATACCATGTTTTCTTCATCCATTCATCCACTGGTGGACATTTAGGTTGACTTCATACCTTGGTTGTTGTGAATAGTGCTGCAATAAATATGGGAATGTAGATATCTCTTTGACACACTGATTTCATTTTCTTTGGATGTATGCTTAAGAGTGATTGCTGGATCATGCATGGTAATTCTAGTTTTAGTTTTTTGAGGAAATTCCATATCGCTCTCCATAAAGGCTCCGCATTCCCAGCAACAGTGTCTGAGTTCCTTTTTCTCCACACCATTTCAAGTTAATTTTTGTTTATGGTATGAACTTTTTCTTCTTTAAAGCTTGATGGTATTATTTTTCTTAAAGCTGTTGTTGCTCCTGGTTTTTATTGTAAATCTATTTTGGAAAAAGAGAGAGAAATATGACCCAGTAGAAATACAGAATAAGATGCACCTGGAGAGAGCAAGATATTAGGTTTCTTTCAATAAACCTATGATAGTTTTGTTTTGTTTTGCTTTTAAATTTATTGTTATAGAGATAATCTAACAATTTTTGAAATATAGAAAAATTTAGAAAATGTATTAAGGATAGTAAAATAACATAATATAATAGGAAATACAAATTACAATGAACTTGAGAGTTGAAATTTGTGGTGTTTGGTATAAACAAAAGATTTGAGAAAGAAATTTATTTTAAGATACAACCTTTTTAGGAATTAGGCCCCAGAAACAGATAGAGGCAAGTCTGCCTTTGTCCCATTACAAGTTTCAGCAAATTGCACAATGGGATGTGGGCAAGAGAAATTAGAAATAAGCATTAGTGAAAGGTGGGAGAAATAAAGACATGAACAGGAATTAAAAAAAGACATGAACAGGACTCTTTGGAAACTATTTTCATGACTTTAATATCAGTGTAGTCATTTTTTTCTTTGGGATTTTGGATTTACTTTCTCTAGTGCATATCATTTTAAAAATCAAATTGAGTATTTCTGTTTCTTGGATACTCCAAATATCTTTCCAGATTAGGCCTCAGCATTGTCTACTCCTTGTGGGGTCCCCATTTCCTTACTAGTGTAGATCTGATCCTTATTATCCTTTCAGTCTCAGATTAAATTTTATCTCCTCATAGATATTTTCCTTATTACTTCTCCTAAAGTGACTCCTAGTTACTACTTGTCATATCAAGCATTTTCATTTTCATCATGACAATTCTCGTTACCTACTATTTTTCTTGGTTTACTTATTTTTAACTTATTCATTGTTTTTTATCACTATAATATTTCTGTGAGACTAATGGCTTTGTATACTTTTTAAAAATAATTATATTCCCAATTCCTAGAATCATGCCTGTCACATATGAGATGCTCAGTAAATATTTGATGAATGAATGAATAAGTAATAATGAGATTTAAATTCATCATAATAATTTACTTATATTATACATGATGAGTCATAATAATAATTTATTTCATAAGGAAATTTACAACGATAGCCATAATATTATTTATTTATGCTTATATTACTCATAGTGGTGCTATATATAAATATGTATTGTATGTAAATAACAAAAGTCACTCAGGAGATTTAAAAGTGACAGATTATTCAAGTTTGACTTATTGAGTTTATGGTCTTTCAAGTAATACTTTTAAGTTACATTATTCCCTACAAATGATAATTTAAGTATATTATGTTTGAGGCCTAATCTGCTGTTTCTAGAAGAAAGTTAATACATAGCTAACCAATGTTCTCATTAACAGGACTGCACCCAAAACACAGTATACAGGATGTTCCGTTCATGAAAACAACAATGGCCAAGCAGCTTTCGAAAATCCCATGTATGACACCAATGCGAAGTCAGTGGAAGGGAAGGCAGTACGATTTGATCCCAACTTGAACACGGTTTGCACAATGGTATAACGTGGCAACACTTCACTTTCTCCAGAAGCTTGGAAATTGACACACAAACCAGTGCACATCTAGTTCACTGCTAAACAAATTAAAGCACACTTTTCAGGACTTGCTGGTCATCTTTTCCTGAGGAATGATAGAGTGTTTTTTCATAAACTGGACCATAATTCTTCTTCATGTTTATCATGGAGAGTTTTACAGAAATTTGGCTGCACTCTGAGAGTGCTTTCTCACAGTTTATTTGCTTTTTTAAAAAAGGAGATTATTCTAAAACATAAACTTATTTGCATATATTGGAGGAGCATCCACTATCAGTATTTCTGTGCTTTATAAACTATATTAGAGGGACTGGGTTTAAAAAAAACAAAAAGATATAGGGTAGAAAATAAGAGCTATACTTACAAGAGTCAATAGATCACTGACTTCTCTTTAACTGTCATGAGCTACATCACGTCTGTAAGTCTGCATTTCATACCACTGTATCAACTATTAATTCTTGTTAATTGAGGCATTGTTTTCCTTATTTCCATGGTTATTTAAAATTGAGTCATACATTTAAATGTTTATAAGCTAATTTATGCCACAAAAGATATAAAGTTGCCCACTCTGGTTTGACTCTTTTTGTTCTTTGATATCCTATTGCTATTTGTTTTTTAGATTGGTCGTCATAGTTTCTCCAAATGGCAAGGTCCTTGTGCTACCCTCCTGATTTCCCCATTATGGAGTAACCAGTATTATTCAGTGGTCATGGGGTAGTGTTTAAATCCTTGCTTCAATATGTTTTGTCATCCAGCAGCGATTTTGGCTGGCAAAAAATTATCTATAGTCTATAAGGATGATTATTTTGCAGTTATCTGAGACTCCAAAATTACCATCTTTTACCAAACTTACCAGTGTTTTTGAAAGACCAAGTAGAACCTATTAATAATTTACTACATTTAGTTTATGATATATTTACATTTCCTTCCATTTGAGCCTCCAATTTTAACATTATTTTGACACTTTTAACTTTCATCTAACAATGAGTTGGCAATATAGTTTGGTCCAGCTCCTAAACAAATGACTTAAAATTTTTTCTTCCAAATTACCCATATAAATTTGTTTACTAAAGTTGTGGACTTATCAAATTTTCATATATTTTAAAATTTCTATACACTTACTCTTTAAAAGCAGGTTTCAGACAGACCAAATTTCTTTCATTGTCATATTAATGTAAGTATTTATAAGTTATTGGTGGCTTCCTTACAACTGTATCATCCAGTGATGTCAGCATCTTTATTTAATAGGTCATTGTCTTCCTTTTTAGAGCATGTTTTAATTCATTTAATAAAATTATGTACCCAGTGTGAACTCTTTGTTGTTGTCCCTTCCAAATATGGATAATCCTGTGAACAGTCTCAACTTTTTGTATCATGAGACAGAGTGCCTAAGAGAAACCATTGCACCGGAGTGCTGCTTGGATCTATCTCTACAACATTTAGTGGATTTCTTGTAAACCACTCTGAGATACATTGTTTTGGAAATTCATTCAATTTTCTCAACATTGTATTCTACTGACAGGATGCAGTTTTAAATTTTATGCCATCAGTTATTTATTCTTGTTTATTCAAATGACTGCAATAACAATGATTCATTCATTAATGTTAAAGTTAATACATTTAAGATCTTGTTTAAACAATGTTTCTTCTGCAACTGGCTACTCCTCTTATATTAATGCATACACTTTTGTAAAGAAGTATATTTTTATGAAAAAAAAAACTTTGTAAAAGTATGATGTAAATTTTCAGTGCAATGTAAACAAAATAAAAATGGATAATTGCTTTTGTAAAATGTGTATTCCTTTCAAAATGATCTGCAGCTGCCCAGGCTAGTGACAAAAATAAACAGCCCATGTTTATTTGGTGTTTTTAAAAGTTTCAGCACTGCATATTATATGTATATATATTTAGTTAGCAACATAATAATGAAATATGGGTGTTTTCCTTTTTCATATTCCACAGTTCCCCAAGTATGACACTCTTTTAGAGGTAAACAGATTCCCAGTAAACATAATAGTACATTAAGAACCTTATCTTAGAATTTTTCTTTAATATAAATATTTTAACAATACTATATAAATTTAGATACACCTTATGTTTTCTAATGTTTTCATAGTATATTTCCATAGACATACTTATGTTTAGCATGCTTCATGGATATGAACTCAATAACCTTTTGAATAGCTACATTAAAATAATAGTCAAAAACAAATCTATTTTTGCCAGGATATAGGATTTCCACAAATAAGTGGAACATGTGAACATTTGTATTCAGGAAAGTTACTAAGTTTCTATGAAGTTAAAATCACAAGTTAGGTTCACTTTTATAGGAGAACATTTTCCATAATATAGTGTTTTTCTACTTCACAACCTCAAACTCTAGTGTTTCTAATCACTCTCTTGATATAATTGTAGTCTGTTAACTTTGTTACCTCCCCCTTCACTAATTTCATGTCGTCTATATTTTTCCTTATTGTTGTCTTTGTTTTTATCCTTTATTGTGTGTTTTTGTTCTGCTTATTAATTTGTTTTATCTCTTCCGATACTGAATATTCTTCCCTTCTTTTCCGGCTCTTCTGCTTTTTAGCCTTTCACTATTCCTCTTTTTGCTATTTTTCTTCATCTTCATTGTTTATCCTTAGCTTTCTCAAAAGTTAGCAGCCATTTTAGAGGAAATAATTTAAAAGAGCCTTGTTGCACTTCCTATCTACTTAATATTAAAGGACGTAGATTCCACTCAGAATTTCTAGACACTGGAACCCGACGAATGATTATGGATATAGACCAAAGGGCAATATTTATTTTACCTGTGCTTATTATTTACAATTGAGAAAAAAAGAACATAACATTGTCTGAAAGAGTCAATAAAATTACTGGATGATACTTGCTCAAAGAAAATGAGAATGTATTGCATGTCCAGGTATTAATCTGTGAATATCTGCAAATTTAAAGTAGGCATCACTTAAGTAAGGTTAAAAAACCAAATTCTATGGAATTATAAAAGCACATAAGTTCAAGAAGGAATTTAGAACGGGTAGTTTGAATTTTGGCTAAAAGAAATATTGATTTGTTTATTTTTTTTAGGATGAGTTTGTAGGTAAGGGAATATTAATCTGAAAAGATATACATATTGTAAAATCTGAGAAATATCTTTCTGTCATCATGTTCATGAGTTTGGTGTTCTCAAGTAATTTAAGAGCAGATTTAGAAGTTACTAGGGAATGGACATGGCCAGTGGATATTAGATTTCATTCTTCAGTACAGAAACAAATGGAACTAGTGAACACCTGCCAGATACTTTCCCAACTTTTAATAAGTCCCCATGTGTAGTCATTTTATTAGTTTTGGAAAAGAAGTGCATTCCGTACATTCAAATTTATAGCTGTAAGTTGTTTTTCAAAATACAAAACAGGAAATCTGTGTTTAAACTCTCATAAGATCCAAATCTTGCTTGTAACTATTAGCATGCCTATGAAAATAAGGATGAACTTATGTGCAGGACCAATGAGATGTATAGATGTAGAGAAAAATATAGAACCATCTTCATGTTATGAATTAAAGAGAACCCAAAGGCTTTCCTCCTCAGCAAGTATCTTCTCTCACACTCTTGAGTTAAGATTTTACATCTCCAGAAGGAACTTATTAGAAACAGATATGTTATCTGGAGAATATCCTATGACAGCATTATTCCAATCATAGTTCCAATGAGCCAATTAACACAGCTATTAAAGAGAAATTCAGTAAAGCAAGCCAGAACTTCTTTGAAGCCTACGGTCTCCTTTTCTGGATGATGTTTTTACATGTGTACAATAAAACAGAAAGGAAATTAATTACAATAAAATAGATATAAAATATTTTAAAATAGTCTAGCACATATAATAATATATACATATATTAGTACATACTAATGTATATATAAAAATACATTTCTCTACTGAAACAAATAGGCAGGGGGCTAATAATTTCTATAGTTTTGAAGAATAGTAATCAAAAGCAATATTTTGAGATATTCATAACATTTAACATGACATGAAAATATGTGATTTTTATTGGTGAAAAAATCACTGATTATTTTTGCTTAGCTCTATTTATTGATTTTTATTGAAACATAGTTGATTGTACTCTGTGGTGTACACAGTTGAATATCAATACCTGTGTGCAATATGTGATGCTCAAATTGGGATAATTAGCATTCAACATTATGCAATGTAATTGTTTTTTTGGCCCTTTACTAATTCCTTCTTTACCCACTCCTCATCCCCCTTTCCCACCTCGGGTAACCTCAGTTTTGTTCTCTCTCTCCTTTTGAAAGTTCAACATATTATTATGATTGTTGTATCTCTCTTTCTTTTTATTTGTTTACTTTTTTTAGCTCTCACTTATGAGTAAGGATATGTGGTATTTCTCTTTCTGTGCCTGGCTTCTTTCACTTAACATAATTTTCTCTAAGTTCATCCATGTTGCTGCAAATGGCAGTATTTTGTTCTTTTTTATGGCAGAATAGTATTCAATTGCATAAATATACCATATTTTCCTTATCTAGTCAATCAACAATGAATATTTAGGCTGGTTCCAACGCTTTGCTATAGTAAATAGAGGTACGATAAACATGGGGGGCAGGTATCCCTTTGGCATGATGATTTCCATTCCATTTCCAGAAGTGGGATTGCTGGATCCTATGGATGTTCTATCTGTAGCTGTTTGAGGAACCTCCAAACTGTTTTCCATAATTTACCTAACTTTATAATTGAAGGAAATACCATCTTTTAAGTAGAAGATTAGTGAAGGTAAAGGTATAATTTTTTTCCTATCCAAATTTACAAACTCTTTGAATTCTATCTGCATAACAGGCTAAGAATCTGGCCTTCTAGTTGAAATTATAGCAAGTACATTGTGATGGGGGAGGAAAGAAGGCATAGAGTCTGCTCTCTTGTGCTATGAGCAATCAACACGAAGTGCTTAATTTGGGCCTTCATTACCAAACACCAGCTTAAAGTCAAATGGACTCTAAGAATAAATCTCTAATGGAAAGGAGTGGATATAAATAGTAAAATGTCATTAACCAATTAATTTACTAACACAGCAAATATTTTCTTGCATTAAACATGTGTACACTATTCTGCTAGGGGGTGTAATGGATACTGGAAAAATAAAAATATAAAAAACATTGATTATATCTAAAAATAACTTAAAATCTTGTCAAGCTATAAAACAAAACAAAACTTTGAAGTATATCTAAGAGATAGCACACAATAACTCTATATGATATCTGTGGTATATCTATGTAGGTTTTTATTCTTTACTAGTTTTCATTAATTGAAATAGACTTTTACGAATTACGAAAGAGGAATTTAACAAATTTTAGTCTATTGAATGAGATATCTTCTTTTAACCTAATGATTAATATAGAAATGATTTTGGCTATATGGCATCAATACATATTTTCAGAATATTCATAAATTGATGAAGTTAATTACTATGAAAACTTCAGATTAGGTCGATTTAGTATCATAGAAAACTTGGAAAATTTCTCGGCAAAATGATCATAGGCTGTTCACAATTTCAATGGGAAATGTATGGTTACTTTTCCTTTTTATTTTATCTGTACATATTCCATTGGGAATCTTTATTAGTTGATGCTTCATCTACAAAATGTAATTTGAAGTTTAATTGTAGGAAAAAAGCACCCATAATTTCAACAAAAATCAATTAGACAAGCCAATGAGACAAAGGTCAAATTTATATTTTAAAATATGTTATCTATTGAATAAGGGAAACCAGTATAACTTTCAGCCTAGTAATTCTAGTCTTAATATGTTATTCCAAGGAAATAATCAGAGATGGGTATTTCATATGACTTCCCCAAATCATGTGTTGTTTGTATATGGTGAAAAATATATCACTAGTCAGCAATGTGTAAACAACATGAGTATTCACTGATCTGGGGTTGTATTGGAAATCACCATACATTTATAACTAATTATTAAATATCATGCTCAAAGTATAACAATGTAGAGAAGACTTCCATGTTCAAAACAAAAATGACAATCTCTCTTTCTGTCTCTATGTCTCTATCTCTGTCTCTATGTCTCTCGCTCTCTCTCTCTCTCTCTCCCTTTTCTCTCTCTCTTTCTCCCAAATACACACATGTACAAATACAAATGTTTTAAAGCAAAGAATAAAATGTAAATGGGCTGGCTGATTAGCTCAGTTGGTTAGAGCATGATGCTGATAACACCGAGACCCAGGGTTCAATCCCTGTACTGGCCAGCCACCAAGAACAAAAACCAAAACCAAACAAACAAAAATAAATAAAATATAAATAGTAGTTATATATGCTTATCAGGAGTGTGATTTAAAATTTTTCGATTTTTTTCCCAGAGTGCATATATGCTAATTTTATTATAAAAAAATAGTTTTAAACAAAAAATAGTGTGAAATTTGAAAAGTAGATTTTATTTTGATGATAACTTTGCTTGGAAGAATGTCCAGACCCAGAAGCATGGTTGTAGACCCTGAGTTTAGGAGATTCATTCACGTAAACTATGAAAAATCACATGGCCAAAAATAGTTATGAAAACCTTGCATAGAACATGTTTCCTCCCAAAATTCTCACATTTAACATATTAAGGTAAATCTTGAATATTGAAGATGAAAATAAAAATGAAATACAATTGACTTTGAACAACAAGGGTTTGAACTGAACAGGTCCACTTATGTGCAGGTTTTTTAGTTTTTTTTTTTTTTTTTCAGCCAGTCTCGGAAAATAAAATATTCAAGGAGATGTCGTAT